ACCTCTCTCAGATTTATTCATTTTGTAATGATATCTTTAATTCTCTAATTTTGGTGAATATTTTTGTTATTTTTGGTAAAAAGTGATATTTTCTTCTTGTTAAAAACCACAATCATTTATGGTGAAAAATGATATTTTTGAATTCTTGTTGAAAACAGCAAGTCCTATTGCATTGATACTATGCATATTGTTCATTTTCTAATGATATCTACTGTTCTATAATTGAAATGTGCATTGCAAACAGCGGAGCTATCTCAGCCGAGAGGCTGCTTGTTAGGGAATCACATTGAATCGTTTGTTCATTCTGCACTTTTTGACTTTTGTGTGCGAATCACACAACAGTTTTTGCAATTAATGTGTCTGTATGTATGTATGTGCGTGTCTTTTCTCAAAGCCCATCATTAGATTTCAATGAAACGTGAAACAGAAATGCTCTAGGATAATCTTATTCTTTTTCCGATTGAAATTTATTCATAGTAATTACCTAATTTGCATATTAATTTGCCAATTTTAATCGTTTTTACTTGTTCTTGTATGCTTTTTGCATATGTGCAAATCTTGTGTAGCTATAAAATATCAATGTCAAAAATATACACTACAGTGTGTATGCATGACACGAGGAGCTAAATTATTCCATAAATGTATATTTTTTTGGGATTGAACTCAGATGATTTAAAAATACATGCTTTGGTTATTTTATAGGAACATTTATGATAATGATGTTGACATTTGTATTCTTGCTATAAATGTGATATCATTGTCACATGCATAACACATGTATCCCCGTAGTGGGAACCATGTTCCATATGCATAGTACATGTAGATGCCAACATTTAATTTCGGCTTTAACTTCCCAAAAGACAGCAACTATGTAAATTGTTAAAAACACTGTTTATAGCAACAGAATTATGTATGCTTATGGTCATTGCAAAATGCCTTTTAGTTACAGTCTGTGTTTATAATTATCTAATTTTCATCAATTTGTCATTTTTTACTGTTTCAAAAATGCCTTAATTACCATTCATCAGATTTTGATTTCAATGAAACTTGGTTTATAGGTGATCTCGAATAATCAACAGACCTGACTATATTAGGCTTGAAACCTTGCATATTAATTACCAAATTTGCAAGTTAGTTTAATAATTTATTCAATGTCAATTAAACTTGGTATTCTAAGATAAATCACAGACTGCAAATGATATTCCCTTTGCTCTGTTATAAAAAATTCAATACTATAGATCAGATTACTTTAAGTTTCATATTGTGAATCTCAAAGATCAGATCTACCGGTACTAAGTATATCTTTTAAACTATCTTTGTTTACACAAGTTGTGAATCAGATTTTATCAAAAAGTTGTTAGAAATCTCAAAATTATCAGTGTTTATATTTGGTACAAACTTAAAATTGAAGAAAGTCACGGAAAATCCTAATAAGGTGAAAGGGTTTTGAAGTGGACATTAATTTTTTGAAATGCATGTTCACACATATCCACTTTGCCTTGCCTTGCCTTGCTTCAGCTGTTGCTTTCCTCGAAGACAATTTAAGCGGAGAGAGTAAGTGTATGGTTTATGTGACAAAGCAGCAGCACTAGCTGTGTAATCCTATCTTCTTCTATCTTCTACCTGTAAATTGTACCATTACAAGACAATGTCTACGTATATACTTACCCAGTTAAGATTTACTGTTACAGGAATGGAAAATGTTAGAACTCCTGGCTAAATAAAATATGTAATATTAATCGGGACATGGAGTATTGCCATCAGAAAATTATTACATTCCTTCTGAGTCTCTTAAAGGGCTTTGTTTTCATTTTATGAACAGTCTTAGTTACAAATTAGAGCTCATCACTTTGTAATTTATTTTGAGGTCTGGCTGATGTCAACACATATACAAATATTGGTTTCATCTTTCCATTCCCAGTTTGTACTGCTAGTAACAGCTGTAGATTTGATTGATTAACTGTGGCATCTTTGGTACATATTGTCCATGCAGTGTTTCTACAAAATAAATAAACAATATCAAATTCAAACATGGTAGGAATGGACACTTGATTACTACACATGCGTCAGTAAATGTCCAAGTCCACAGACACTATGTTGCAGATATTTTACTCCATGAAAGAAATTGAAATGAAATTAAGTTAACAAAATTACTGTAATTCTGTGACAGAAACATTTTCATGAGTCAAGGAAAAACTGAAAAACATTTTGTTAGCAGATTTACTGACTGAATTTAGTCACTGTTAAATCAAATTATTAAATCATAAAAAATTGTGGCAGAAAAATTGTAACTGTTTAGTGTAACTTAAAGTCCTTGTCTGTGTAATGAAACATTGAACAACTTATTGAGTTGGTTATGGTAAAAAGTGGTATGACTATGAAAGTGTTATTTAAAGTAAGGCATGATCTATTGTATATTAAAAGGATGTTTTCTCATTTGCATGTTTAGATATTGCACTATTTATGCTGGAAGTTGCTTGCAAGATATGGCTTCACAATTTTTTTATTATCTTGATGTACACATGAAATTATGGCAAGTTGTGTACCCTATTGGTGTGATAACTATTTGGGTTTAAAGGTTTCTTAGATGACTGAACATTCCAATGCTAAATATTATAATTTGTTATGACGTCTTTACTCTTACAGGCGAGCAAGAGCTAAAGAAGAACCAGCAGATGTAATAGAGGAAGATAGTGACCACCCAAATAATGGTAAAGATGGTCTGGGTAAACATGGAGGAAGTACAGGTAAGGTCCACTTATATATTCATCATTACATTAACTAACTTGATTAAGACAAATTTTTCCAATTTCCCAACACTTTTTCCCCATTCTACAATAAAATATAATTTACACTTTTTAGCTCCGCTGTCGACTTTGTCAAGCGGAGCTTATCATATGAGTGATTGTCCGTCGTCGACGTCCGTGTCAATGTTTTACTTTTTCGACTTCTTCTTGAAAACTACAAGCCTGAATGCTTTGATACTTGGTGTATATGTACCTTAGGTAGACCTCTCTTAGGTTTGTTCATTTCATGTTGATATCTTCAATTCTCTAATTTTGGTGAATATTTTTGTCATTTTTGGTAAAAAGTGATATTTTCGACTTCTTGTTAAAAACCCCAAGTCCAATTGTTTTGATATTATCGGTACATATATAGGTACTATACGTGGACCTCTCTCAGATTTGTTCATTTCATGATCATATCTTCAATTCTCTAATTTTGGTGAATATTTTTGTCATTTTTGGTAAAAAGTGATATTTTCATCTTCTTTTAAAAAACTGCAAGTCAAATTGCTTTGATATTAAATATATAGGTACTACATGTGGACCTCTCTCAGATTTGTTCATTTTGTAATGATATCTTTAATTCTCTAATTTTGGTGAATATTTTTGTCATTTTTGGTATAAAGTGATATTTTCAACTGCTTGTTAAAAACCGCAAGTCCAATTGCTTTGATATTACATATATAGGTACTACATGTGGACATTTTCTCAGATTTGTTCATTTTGTAATGATATCTTTAATTCTCTAATTTTGGTGAATATTTTTGTCATTTTTGGTAAAAAGTGATATTTTCGACTTTTTGTTAAAAACCACAATCATTTATGGTGAAAAATGATATTTTTGAATTCTTGTTGAAAACAGCAAGTCCCATTGCATTGATACTATGCATATTGTTAATTTTCTAATGATTTCTTCTGTTCTTTAATTGAAATGTGCAGTGCTAACAGCGGAGCTATCTCAGCCGAGAGGCTGCTTGTCTTGTGATCAGAATCAATGTCTGTGTAATTTTCTTTTTTAATATTTGAATGCCCTGCATTCATAACAAGTCATACCGGTACATCTTGACTTGGCAAATTCTATATGAATAAATCTTATTTTTCTAGTGATATCATTCTCTCAATCATATCCACTTTATTAGCTTTACTGTCATCAATGATGACAGGCAGAGTTGTTGGTGTAGGTGATTGTCTGTTGACGTCCAGTGTAAACTTTTTTTTAGCTCTGTTGTTGACAGACTGGAACTGTTCATTTTACTGACTGTCTGTCAGCATCAACTTTAGATTGTTGACTTCTTCTTTAAAACCGCAAGTTCGCTTGCTTTGATACTTGGTATATTTATACCTTGGGTGGATGGCTATTTTGGACTTAAAAACAACGAGCCCAACTGCTTGATATTTTATATGTAGATACCTTGAATAGACCTTCGTCACATTCAATTCTCTAATTTTAAATTAACTTTTTTAAAATGGCTAGCTCAATTGTTTTCAAATTTATATTTTATATGCAGACACCTTCGGTGAACCTCTTGACACATTTTTCTCTTTTTGTGACCATAAGTTTATTTTCTAATTTTAGTGAATATTTTTGTCATTTTTGATGAAAAACAGCTATTTTCAACTGTCTAAATACAATGTATACAGTGGAGATATATCAACTGCCAGGCTGCTTGTTTCAAACAACTTCTTGAAAATGGTTTACTCCAGACTATTGCTATGTAGATTTAAACACTGGAGTTGTAAAACTTGAATAGAATGTTATTTTCTTCATATGATGTTTGTGTAACTATATGCATGTACTTATTATTGCTACACTGTGCTTTGCTGAAAAAGTTGTGCTATTTTGACCATGATTGACATCTAAAGGCTATGTTTTTTTGTTTTGTTTTCAAAAACAGAGACTGTGACATTAATTTTGAACTGCTAATTTTGTTTTTTCTTTCTTACAGATACCCTTGATCATAAGTCTCCAACAGAGTACATGAAACAGTTTTGGGACTTTTTAATGCATTGGTATAGAATTGTTACTGCCATAATATGGAGGTTGTTGGAAATTCACATGGTTAAAGTAATATTCTTCTCTGTAACAGTAGTGGCAGTTACTCAGGTGAATTCCTACATATGTATATATATGTATTGAAAAATAGTACTATTTACCATAATGTCAACATGAAAACTTTTCTTTCACAATGTGTTTTTTTTACTATACTGAGGCATAACCCACTTCATTTTTTTTTTTACCTTGCCCATAACATCAAAGATGGGAGAGAAAGGTATATTAAGAGAGAAAATTCTGTCCGGCGTTGTCGTCCTTGTCGTTGTCGTTAATAATCTATTTCAAACTTCATCAAATTTGGTCACATTATTCATCAGTATGAAATCTTCCCTGAGTATGAACAACAGATGTCCTGTATGAAAATATCATGCAAAAATTGAGAAAATGTGATAAAATTTTTGACTGTTTCTACTTCACTGATCACACACATCAAAGGTCACTGATCTCAGTGGAAATATGCATTGTTGTATGTGTTCAATGAAGCAAATGATTTATCTTGTAATAATATCTTCGGTAATGTATCTCCCAAATCCCATGGGAATACTAGACTGGGTTTCAAAACCAACTCATAGTTTTTGCACAGTCTGTTACACATTTGCAAACCTAAAATCTTTACAGGAAACGAGATTAGCACTCCTATGAATTGGGTGCCAAACTTTGATCAAGATCTGAAGCTAATAGAAAATCTGTTTAGTCCAAAGTTATCAAATCAAAAACAATACATAAAAAATACATAAAAAGCATCTACATTTTGAAAAGAAAATTGTACTCAAAAATAGGTATTTTGTATTCGACAAATGAAAATCACAGGAATTTGTTTCAGCTATTAGAACAAAATAATACAGCTTTTATAATAATAATTTAAAAAAGAAACAAAGATTGCAATGTTTGAAAATGTAGATTCTCAGGAGGCAAAAGTACTGTTGAGTTGATTTGCATTACAAAACAGAGCTTGCAACATGATAGAGGTGTTTTTTTGCTTTTCAAATAATACAGTAGTCACACATTGAATACAAGGAAGTTCATATTTGTCTCAGTGAATCATTAATTTTTGACAGACACCTGTACAAAATACAGCTAAGATTTTCTGGTATCTTGCATGATTTATGAATCTATTCACGTCTAAATGCAGCACTTTTTTTTTCTGAGATGCGGCATTTGTTTTTATAATATCGTATTTATCCGGGTATAAGCCCAGGGTCTTCAACATGGAAAATCGCCAAAAAGAAGGGGTGGGTGTTTGTTCGGATATCCCTGGCAAAAAATACGAAAAATCGCGAAAATTGGCAACACGCAGATCGAACTGCGACAGGTAGAAAAACAGCAAATAAAAACATGCAACAAAAATAAATGAACAATATGCAGCATTAGAAGTGTAACAAGAAATAATTTATTGCTTAGAATGTGACAAATATTAAAACCAGAAATAATAAAAATCGACAGTGAAGATTCATTTGAATTAGAATATCCCCGTCGACAAACACGCCGCCCCATACGCGTGAATTATTTCCGGTTTCGACAATTACCGGATCGGCGCCACTGTCGCTATCAAACTAAAATTCCTATAGCTTTATTACAGGTGTAGAAAAAACACTCCTGGGCGTTTGCTAGGATATGACCTCAACTCCTTTTTATTTTATCAAAAGTGGGGGGTGGGGGTTTGTCCGGGCATGGGCTCTTAGCCGGATAAATACGGTAAAATATCTGAATAAAGCTGGAAATTATGTCCCTTTAAATAATTAGGCACCAATGTTTTTGTAAGATATTTACATCTATCAAGGACATTAAGTAAACTGCTTTCCCATTGTTGTTTCAACCCCAAAACTTGTTTGTATTCAAAATTAATTATGACAATGCATAGTCATATTGAAACAAACTGTGATAAAGGGAATAATATTATATAACAAAGGGCAAGGTCACCAGAGTTTAACTATGTTTTAAAATGCGCAGCCTGAAAAGGGGACTATAGTTCCGTATTTGTGTTTCCGTTCGTCCTGTTTCCTTCTTCTCAGAAATTCTGCAGCAGATATCAATGAAACTTGGTAGGTTGATGAACAAGTCTCTGTTGAATATGCACATCATTTTTTTTACAGATCTGAAAATCATAAATGGGTCTTTTTTACATTTTTCATCATAAACTACCTTTTCCAACAACACTGAGAGAACAACTGAGCATGCTCAGAATAAATAATTAGGTTAGATTGTAATGCTAGGGCTTTTAGAAATGGACCACAGTCTGGTTGTTTGGTTTTATGAAAAATTAATGCTGAAATCTTGAAAAAAAGTGGTCAGAAATGTTGTTGTATATTATATCTTTAAACTGTAAACATTGCATTCCATTATAAAGAGCCAATGAAATACCTAGTAACAAAATTGAAGATCAGTGAAAACACTTTGCAGTTTCTGTTTATAAATCTTGGCCAGGCACATTGACACATGTGGTCTAAATATAGCTTCAGTTGTCAGGGGCTAGTGGATAAATGGGTTGTATCCACATATATAGAGTACATATTAATTGCTGTTTGCAGATGTTCCATGTAGTATTTTACAATTAAATGACGGGGACTGTGACATTCATGTCTTGTCTCTATTAGAAGTGCATCTCCAATAGAAGCACATATTTAAACTAAAAATCACATTGGTTGTATACTGAATCATAAAAATATCTCTTATTTCAATCATAGAAAAATATCTGTATTTTACATAAGTGCATGAACTTTGAATAGAGAAAATGTGCTATTTCACTTCTTAGTTTATATCCATAATCTTTAGACACAAAAAACCTGTATTTACCCATTGCATTATATACCACTTGTTTTTTCCCTTGCTAGTAAACCTTGAAAAAACTGCTGGATTCTATTCACACTCTGTGTTTTCACTTTACCTGTAAATAACACTATTTGCTATTTTGTCCATGTCCATTCTTCCAGATTATATATGTTTAAAATTTTAATATTTTTTTTTTTTTTTTTTTGCAGGTTTCAGCAATGAACTTTTTGTTCATATTTTTCATGTTCTTTGCCATACCCATACCATGGTTGCAGGGTGCATTCACAGTGTGTTGTATGATATGGGCGTCTGTCATTCTCCTCACTAAGATGATATACCAATTAAAGCTCATTGATGATCACATCTTTAATACCACGTGCTTTGTAAGTAAATACATGAATTTTGCCAATAATATCTACTGATTTTATGTTGGTCATGGAAGTATATCAAGGTTACTGCAGGCATACTCTTTGTAACTATTTTGATTTCGCTTGGCCTTTGTAATCAGCACAAAATCGTGTAGTAAAATTGTCTATGTGAATATGATATGCATTGTATTGTGCATCTTCAGGCAGATTTTGAATACAATTGCGGTACAGTGTGATGTGATGTGATATATAATGTTACACTGAACTGAAAGTTCTAGAAAAACATTTCAGTGTAAACTAGTAAATAAAAATGCATCAAATAAATCAAGCATTTCTGCCATCCTGCCACCAGATCATGGTCAGACATGAAAACATACATTGAACAAAATAAGTCTTTGATGCATGTCATTTTGTTTTTCAAATCAGATTCAAAATGGCTGACTGGTATCATTCCAAAGCCATATTTTTGGCACGTCTTATCTGGTTCTAATCAAACTTACATGTACATTATTACACTTACATTCATTTTTGTATACAATTGCTCAGAATGTGTCATGTCATGACATCACTTGTTATTTGTGAAATAATATTGTATTTTCACAGAATAACGTAAGTACTGGTCCCTTTCCAACTGATAATGTGACTTATAGTTTATCTAAATGGATAGGATTTGAAAAGACAGATAATATATTTGTGTATACCATAGTAAGTATGAATCATCTATTTATATTCTGTATTAGGCACATTATTCTTGATATCAAATATGTGTGAATTCACTTTCCATTATTTATGTTCGTCCTATGCACCCACAAAAAACCATTCCTCATAGACATTTGGAATATGCATGATTATTGACTTTTCCAAGTGAAACGGGTTGATAATGTTTCTAACGAAGCAATCCGTAATTCTTTGTGATCCCTTTGTTGAGCTGGGCCAAACTTTTGTAGGTAGAGGGTGGGGTATAGTACTAGTACAGGTGTAGTGTTCAGTTGCAAAGAAATAATACTTATTTTCATTTCCAGGGATATATCATCATAATTTTGGTAATAGTGTTTGAAACTGTTGTCAAGTTACATCAGAAACAATACAGATGGGAGAATAACTTGGATACTCCAAAGAGAGGAATACTATTTGATGATATTAACAGACATAATGCAGATACTTCTCTCACCAACATGGCTAAATACTTGATAAACTATTTCTTCTACAAGTTTGGTCTTGAGGTAAGATGAACAACACTAAACACTAAACTGTATCAATACATAGTTTAATCAGTGTCATTGTCAACTTTTGGCACTAGCAACATGATTGTGTACAGTCTCCTCCCTCCTCATATGAAATGTGACAAACCTTTTGGGCAAAAACTAAAAACATAATGACCAAAATGATGATAAAATTTAAGTGACAATTTCACAAAATGTGAAAATATTTATAAATCTGGCAATCAAAGGGTTAAATTGAAAAATCATGTGATGAATGAACACAGTTTTTTCTTTTGCATGGGGGAAGGGGGAAGTATAACTTTTTAGCACATACACTATGTGTATGTTTTCAGAAGAAGAAAAATCTAATAATACAAAAAACAATGCATGAAGGTAACACTGCTTTGTTTTGTGTTAACAGATTTGTTACATCATGACAGTAGTAGCCATCTCTGTGAGATTAGATGTGTACAGTGTTATCTATGCAACATGGTTGGGTATACTCATGTTATTATTAAGAAGAATTACATATCTAGTGTGGCCTGTTTACATGTGCTTCCTAGCTTTACTCTTTCCAATATTATACTTCATGTGCCTTGGTCTACCAGGTGCACTCTGTATTGGTAAGTCACATGTACAGATATTTGTAAATCAATTCACTGGTAGATACAGTACTATATAAGCATACATTTTCACCAGTATTTGACCATATCCACTGGGTTTGAAAATTATTTTTTGAGTACATGTATTTTACACTACATTTTGCATTGCATTAACTTTTACATTCAGTTCTTGGGGGGGGGGCTTGAGTGGGTATTTACCCAAAACATGACTATCGTCTTTTGTACAAAATTGTAGTTAAGCCGCATAACCCATTGGCGTCAACATATTTTGCCAGTTTAGTAGAATATTGAACTTAAGTTCGTTCGTGGACATTCAACCTATTAAATAAGGTCAAAATATTATCACGTTAAAAGTGTTATCTGTACAAAATTATTGATTCAGACATTGATAATCAACTTTTTAGCCCCGCTTTCATCGTAGGTGACAGATAGTATTTTTCAGATTTTAGATAAAGACCCATCATATATATTACTATTTACTATTAAATGTATCTTAAATGTACCCAACCACAATTTTGAGATATGCCCTAAACTATTTACCATAGGAACCAATGGCATATATTCATGGGTGTTTGTCACATTTTTTGTGCGAAAAATAATTCGGTGACCATACATTGTTTTCTTGATTTTATATACCATATGGTAAATATTGAGGAAATCTAGGGAGCTAAATTTCTACATTTTTTTGTGTGTGTACAGGTTATCCATGGTATGGTAAACTGGATTCAAATTTAATGAAATGGCTATATTTACCCAGTTACGTGGATCCGCCCAAATCCACAAAACTTATTGGTATGTATATAATAAACTTTCATATGTACTAAGATGATTGTATCATATTGGCTTTTTTAGCTCCGCTGTCGCCTTTGTCGAGCGGAGCTTATCATATGAGTGATTGTTCTTCGTCGTCGTCCGTGTCAATGTTTTACTTTTTAGCTCCGCTGTCGACTTTGTCGAGCGGAGCTTATCATATGAGTGATTGTCCGTCGTCGTCCGTGTCAATGTTTTACTTTTTCGACTTCTTCTTGAAAACTAAAAGCCTGAATGCTTTGATACTTAATGTATATGTACCTTGGGTAGACTTCTCTCAGATTTGTTCATTTCATGATGATATCTTCAATTCTCTAATTTTGGTGAATATTTTTGTCATTTTTGGTAAAAAGTGATATTTTCACTTCTTGTTAAAAACCGCAAGTCCAATTGCTTTGATATTACATATATAGGTACTACATGTGGACCTCTCTCAGATTTGTTCATTTTGTAATGATATCTCAATTCTCTAATTTTGGTGAATATTTTTGTC